TGAGGCCAGTCAGGGCAACAGGGTAAAACCCCATCTCTACTATAAATACAAAAAAATACAAAAATTAGCTGGGCGTGGTTGTGGGCGCCTGTCATCCCAGCTACTCAGCCCCGCCTCACATGTACGCACTTTTGCTGAGTGGAGGGTACTGGTTGGTGGCAGGGAGGGTCTCAGCCCAATCTCACTCAGACATCCAGTCCCATAGACCTGTTGGTGTCAGTTACCACCAGAAAAGGCTGCAGTGAAACCCAGGTGGGTTTGTGGATTCACTGCCCTGAAGGAAGAAACACTGGAAGGGGTTCTGTTCATCTCAGAAAGTGAGGAGTGTATCACAGAACTACGGGAACCGTGGGGCGGTGTGAGGAGAGGTCAAGGGAGCAGGATTGTCCCCTGGCCTTCATGCCAACAACTAGTGGGGACCATTCTCTAAGTATTTTAATAATTTTTTTTTTTTTTTTTTTTTTTTTTTTTTTTGATATGGAGTCTTGCTCTGTAGCCCAGGCTAGAGTGCAGTGGCGCCATCTCGACTCACTGCAACCTCCACCTCCCAGGTCCCGGTTCAAGCAATTCTCCTACCTCAGCTTCCCAAATAGCCAGGATTATAGGCATGAGCCACCATGCCCAGCTAATTTTTTTATTTTTTAGTAGAGACGGGGTCTCACCACGTCAGCCATTCTGGTCTTGAACTCCTGACCTCGTGATCCGCCTGCCTTGGCCTCCCAAAGTGCTGGGATTACAGGTGTGAGCCACTGCGCCCGGCCAATAATCTTTTTACCTAAAAGGCAGGGGAACCTGGTGGGGTGAAACTAGCAGTCACTCCCTTTGGCCAGGAGATGGGGAGGTTTGGACATATTTGTGGTTTGGCCAATGCTCTTCCATTCACTTGTGCTAAAACTCAATTACGGAAGGGTGGGCCGGGGGCGGTGGCTCACGCCTGTAATCCCAGCACTTTGGGAGGCCGAGGCAGGTGGATCAACTGAGGTCGCGTGTTTGAGACCAGTCTGACCAACACGGAGAAACCCAGTATCTACTAACAGTACAAAATTAGCCAGGCGTGGTGGTGCACACCTGTGATCCCAGCTACTTGGGAGGCTGAGGCAGGAGAATCGCTTGAACCCAGGAGGCGGAGGTTGTGGTGAGCCGAGATCACACCATTGCACTCCAGCCTCGGCAACAAGAGCAAAACTCCGTCTCAAAATAAAAAACACTCCACAGCTTAGCGGTAACTGTTACTTAGCTGTATAACTGGCCGTGGTCTGGGGCTACTTTTGTCTTCCTCACTTTATACTCACCTCCGCATATGCTGTTCCCTCTGCCCACCACACCTTTCCCTCTCTTTTTCACTCAGCTCTTTCCTTCTCAAGGTTCAGAGCTCTGTTTAAATGCCACCACCTCTGAGAAGCCCTCCTTGATCGCCCAGGCTGTGGGCCTCCACAACCCTATTTCAACCCTGGACACGACTAGTCACGATTAGAATAGTTATTTATTTTATTTTATTGTTATTATTACTTTTGAGACAAAGTCTTACGGCTTGAGTGCAATGGCGCGATCTCAGCTCACTGCAACCTCCGCCTCCGGTCTTCAAGCAATTCTCCTGCCTCAGCCTCCCAAGTAGCTAGGATTATAAGCACATGCCACACCTGGATAATTTTCAGATAGGGTTTCACCATATTGGCCAGCCTGGTCTCAAACGGCTGACTTCAGCTGATCTGCCCGCCTCAGCCTGGGATTACAGGCATGAGCCACTGTGCCTGGTCTTTAATTTTATTTATTTATTTGTTTATGAGATGGAGTCTTGCTCTGTAGCCCAGGCCGGAGTGCAATGGCATGATCTCAGCTCACTGCAACCTCTGCCTCCCAGGTTCAAGTGATTCTCCTGCCTTAGCCTCCTGAGTCACTGAGATTACAAGCATGTGCCACCACGCCTGGCTAATTTTTGTATTTTTAGTAGAGACGGGGTTTTACCATGTTAGCCAGGCTGGTCTCCACCTCCTGACCTCGGGTGATCTGCCTGCCTCGGCCTCCCAAAGTGCTGGGATTACAGGCGTGAGCCACTGTCCCTGGCCTTTATTATTTATTTTTATTTTTATTTATTTAAATGTCATCCCATCAACACCAGACATTATTATTATTTTTTAAAAGAGGCTCTTTTGCCCAGGCTGGCTGCAGTGCAGGGGCTATCAGAGCTCACTGCAGCCTCCAACTCCCGGCCTCAGGTGATCCTCTTGAATGGGAAGGTAAGCTTGCCACCACGCCCAGGTAGTATTTTTATTTTCTGTAAAGATGGGGTCTCACTATAGTGCCCAGGCTGGTCTCAAACACCCGGCCTCAAGTGATCCTCCCGCCTTTTGCTTCCAAAGTGTTAGGATGACAAGCGTGAGCCACTGTGACCAGCCAGGATGATAACCTTTCATGTGATTTTCCAACTCTGAGTCCCCTGCAACCAGCGGCCTTTCTGTCTCATCCTGCTGTGTGGTACCAGCTGTGGCGTACAGTAGGACCTCAGTACTTATTTGAGAACGTGCACCCCTAAAAGCTCTAGAATGTTGGAACAGGAGAAGCCGTTCTCTACTCCCTGGCGGCGTGCCTGGGGGACACCAGAAGTCACCTTGCCGAAGACATAGCTCTTCCTAGATTGAAATTCACCTGACTTTGTTACAAGACTTGACTGTAATAACAAAACAAACAAACAAAGAAATTCACTTGACCTACACTCCTAAGTTATGTCAATATGAAGGAGGAGGAGGCCGGTTGGGAAGACGTGACAAGCCTGGCTCTCTACCAGTGGAAGGTTCAATACATGGTTATACTGAGCTGCCTCCTCCTCCCCCTCCCCTCCTCCCTACCCCCTTCTCTTCTCCTTCTTCCTTCTTTTGAGATGGAGTTTTGCTCTGTCGCCCAGGCTGGAGTGCAATGGCGCCATCTTGGCTCACTGCAACCTCTGCCTCTCGGGTTCAAGTGACTCTCCTGCCTCAGCCTCCCGAGTAGCTGAAACTACAGGCTCGTGCCACCAAGCCCAGCTAATTTTTTGTATTTTTAGTAGAGACAGGTTTCACCATCTTGCCCAGGTTGGTCTTGAACTCCTGACCTCGTGATCCATCCGCCTTGGCCTCCCAAAGTGCTGGGATTACAGCCGTGAGCCACCGCGCCCAGCCTGAGCCTCTTCTTCTAAAGGCCAAACACCTCTCCAGATGCAGGAACTTCACCTCTGAACATGGAAGCCACAGGGGTGGGCAAAACTAAACAAGTCCACAAACAGAGAAAGCAACTCGATGAAATAAAAAAGAAAGAGGAGCTGGGTGCAGTGGCTCATGCCTGTAATCCCAGCACTTTGGGAGGCTGAGGCGGGTGGAGCACCTGAGGTCAAGAGTTCAAAACCAGCCTGGCTCACATGGGTGAAACCCCTCTCTACTAAGAATACAAATAGCCAGGTGCGGTGGCACATGCCTGTAATTCCAGCTACTTAGGAGGCTGAGGCAGGAGAATCACTTGAACCCAGGAGGCGGAGGTGGCAATGAGCCAAGATCACGCCACTGCACTCCAGCCTGGGTGACAGAGCAAGACTGTGAAGAAAGAAAGAAGAAAAGAAAGGGAGGGAGGGAGTAAGAATGAAGGAAGGAGGGAGGGAAAGAGGGAAGGGAGGGAGAGAAAGAAGAGGCAGGGCAAGGTGGCTCACGCCTGTAATCCCAGCACTTTGGGAGGCCAAGGCAGGTAGATCACAAGTTCAGGAGTTTGAGACCAGCCTGGCCAACATGAAAGGAGAGAGAGAGAGAGAAAGGGAAAAGAAAAGAAAGGGCTGGAGAAGGCGGGGTCCCTTTTGCCTTGTTGGGGGGTATCTGGGAGAATCTCTCTGAGGACGGGATATTTAGGGCAAGGCCTGAAGCCGGGGAGGAAGCTGCCCATGGAAAAACCTGGGAAATTCCTGGGGGAACTCGCTGAGGCAGGACTGCCCCAGGCAATTTGTAAGAAGGGGGCTGGTGCCACCTGAGCTGGGAGCTAAGGGAAGGACGGGAGGGAGGGCCAGGGAGATGGAGTGGGAGGTGGGAGGAGTCTGGTGGGACAATGGGAACCCAGGCGAGGCCTTAGAGCAGGGGAGGTGCCTCCAGCACTGGGACCTAGGTCCCAGCAGGGTCACTGAGGGGAAGCCTTTTAGGGAATGGACTCTGTGATCAACTAGTCCTACCTGCACTGCCCCAAATGCGTTTGCTTTTCCCTCCCCACAGTCAGGACCCTGGTAGCCATCCTTAGATCCCTAATATTGCCATTTTTACTGATGAGGACACTAAGTAGTAAATGCAGAAATCCTAAAGCACAGTGCCTAAGATACATTGGCGCCCCGAACCTAATTGCTAAATAACATTAATAAATAATATTGCACAGGTGGGGAGCGGGTCAGCAATCCAGGAGGAGGCACCGGCAGGAGCAAGAGACAGAATTTGAGCCTACTTGCGGTTACATTTTGGCCAAACTCAATTCCTGGTCTCTCTGAGCCTCAGTTTCCCCACCTGGACTGCGCGGTGTGTAATTTCTCTGCCCCATTTCTCTCGCCTCTCCCAGCCCCGCCCCAGCGTCGCAAGTGAAACGCAGAGACTCAGGACGAGGAAAGCACTTTTAACGTGCTAAGGGATTGAGAAGAGGCCCGGAGAGGCTTCCTCTGGGCTCTGCCGGGTCCACTCCCCGCATAGACCGCGGGCGCGCTCTGGTGGCCAGGCCACTCCTGGCTGAAGCCGCCGGACCACGTGTGTAGTCGCAGCCGCCATCTTTAATCCGGGCATAGGCCATCTTGGTAAAGGTAATGTTCCAGACTTTCGCCTTTGTCCGCCCCTCCTGGTTCGTCATTATATAAAGTGAAAGTAAGGAATGAGGGCGTATGAAGTGTCCCCATTTTGAAAAGACGAAGTTTAAGTCGCCGACTACCCTGGCTTGGGTCCGAGGCCCAGCCATTTTTTCCTTTACCAAGATGGCGGCCGTACCGAGGCTCAATGAGCGGCCGTCGCCAGGAGCTCAGCGCGCAGGCTCCGCAGTGACGTCACGGAGGCGCGACTGGGCCGGCGCTGGGGTAAGGAGGTAGGAGCGGCTGCGGCGCGGGCGGAACCTGGGTTCGGGGGGGCAGAGGCGCGGGGCGGGGGGTGTTTGGCCTGGGACCATCCCCTGGGAAGGCTGGAGGAGGGGTGCTGGGAGGCGGGAGCACTTCCGCGTCCCGGACCTAATTGGGGATGATGCCCATTTCCAGACCAGACTACTGAAGCCCGGCGCTACAGCTAGTGTTCGAGGCCACCCGATCCCGGACTGCCTCTGGGCAGCTTCCGGTCTTGACAGGGACAGATTGGGTGCGGGCGCCCCCGGCCTCTTCTAGGGGGCTTAGTGGTGGGGGAGCCCTGAAGGGATAGCCGGGAGGGCTGCTTGGAGGAGGCATTGTTGAGCTTCGTATTCTATTCTTTTACCTTCACATCCGTGGGGTCTTGATCCCCTCCTAAGTGTGCCCCTCGCCCAGCCTGAGCCACTCCCTGGGTCCCGCCTGGGCTGCCAGCTCCTGCCATCTGGAGAGTCCACCTCCTCACCAACCCCAGAGGGCTTGTGTGACCCACAGATTGGGCCTCTCGGCTCTAACGCCCTCCACACCTTCCCATCTCCTTGAAATACAAAATCGCCTGTTTTTCTGGCTTATCTCCTGCGTCCCCCGTACAGGCTGGGATCTCCCCCACTCCTTCAGGGCTTTCCTTAGATGTCCCCTCTAGGAAGCCCTTTGACCCAGACTGGGTTGGGAGCCCTCTCCGGGCTTTCCCAGCGCGCTGCGTGTCCTTACTGGGACTCCGATTGCATTTGGTGGCTCTTGTCTGGGAGTCCCATGCAGGCAGGGAGCTCATTTTTGCCACCCCTTTCCCCAGCATCGCACATGTATTAGGTGCCCAGTACATATTTGTTGAATGATGTGTGTGTGAGTGAGCGTTCACCACACAGAGAAGAGTGTCTACTTTTCAGCTTGGGCTGTCATGGTATTGCTTAAACAGCAGAAATTGCCAGGCGAGTTTGTTCACGCCTATAATCCCAGCACTTTGGGAGGCTGAGGTGGGTGAATCACCTGAGGTCAGGAGTTTGAGACCAGCCTGGCCAACATGATGAAATCCCATCTCTACTAAAGATACAAAAATTAGCCAGGCATAGTGGCATGGGCCTGTAGTCCCAGCTACTCGGGAGGCTGAGGCAGGAGAATCATTTGAACCAGGGAGGTAGAGGTTGCAGTGAGCTGACATCACGCCCCTGCACTCTAGGCTGGCTGACAGAGCAACACTCCGTCCGAAAATAAAATAAGAAGAATGCTGAAGTCTCTTGGGCCGGGTGCGGTGGCTCACGCCTGTAATCCCAGCACTTTGGGAGGCCGAGGCGGGTGGATCATGAGGTCAAGAGATCGAGACCATCCTGGTCAACATGGTGAAACCCCGTCTCTACTAAAAATACAAAAAATCAGCTGGGCATGGTGGCGCGTGCCTGTAATCCCAGCTGCTCAGGAGGCTGAGGCAGGAGAATTGCCTGAACCCAGGAGGCGGAGGTTGTGGTGAGCCGAGATCGCGCCATTGCACTCCAGCCTGGGCAACAAGAACGAAAAAGTGGCTTCAAAAAAAAAAAAATTTAAAAAAAAAAAAAAAAAGAATGCTGAAGCCTCATGCTGTGGATGGCACAGTGCTGGCATCCTCAGTTGGTACCCTGATGGAGTGCTGTTAATTTCTCAGCTGTGTGGCCTTCCCCACCTTCAACTGAAAACAGGCTTTGGAGATAAGGCTCCAGGCTCAGCCCCGTATGACCTGGCCGGAGACCCTGGCTTCCCCTCCTTAGAATAGGGATAAACGGGCCAGGGGCGGTGGCTCACGCCTGTAATCCCAGCACTTTGGGAGGCTGAGGCAGGTGATCATGAGGTCAAGAGATCGAGTGCATCCTGGCCAACATGGTGAAACCCCGTCTCTACTAAAAATACAAAAATTAGCTGCTCATGGTGGTGTGCACCTGTAGTCCCAGCTACTCAGGAGGCTGAGGCAGGAGAATTGCTTGAACCCAGGAGGTGGAGGTTGCAGTGAGCCGAGATCGTGCCACTGCAAACCAGCCTGGCGCCTGGCAACAGAATGAGACTCTGTCTCAAAAAAAAAGAAAAAAAAAAAAGAAAAGAAAAGAATGGGGATAAATGACAGTCCCCACATTTAAGGTATTGGAGACATTCCATTGATTTGGTCCTTGTAAAGCACTATGCCAGGGGCCGGACATGGGGAGGGTGGCGCCTGCCACTGGTGTGTGCCTCCTCATTCCCTGGCTTCCCGCATGGGCCTCACACCAGGTAGGCCCCAGGTACCCAGGGGCCGGCAGCTTTAGGATTGTTATAATATCTCCCAGTGGCGCAGGACCCAGGCCATCAGGAGCAATTTGTGGTGGCTTTATTGTTCACCCACCTCACACAGACCACCACATGGTCACAGCAGCATAACTTGTAAGAGACCTAATTTGGCCTGGCACAGTGGCTCATGCCTATAATCCCTGCACTTTGGGAGGCTGAGGTGGGTGGATCACTTGAGTCGGGAGTTCGAGACCAGCCTGGCCAACATGGTAAATCCTCATCTCTACTAAAAATACAAAAATTAGCCGGGCATGTTGGCAGGAGCCTGTAATCCCAGCTACTCCAGAGGCTGAGGCCAGAGAATTGCTTGAACCCAGGAGGTGAAGGTTGCAGTGAGCCGAGATCACGCCATTGCACTCCAGCCTGGGTAACAAGAGTGAAACTCTGTCTCAAAAAAAAGAGCCCCAACCTGGAAACTGGCCAAGCATCTAGCTGTGGGCACATGGATAAACAAAACATGGTGTATCCGTGCAGTCGGGGAGTATTGATCCCTAAAAAGGAAAGCAGGAGGCTGGGCGCGGTGGCTCCCGCCTGTAATCCCAGCACTTTGGGAGGATGAGGTGGGCGGATCACCTGAGGTCGGGAGTCCAAGGCCAGCCTGGGCAACATAAAGAAAAAAAGGCTAGGCATGGTGGCTTGCACCCATAGTCCCAGCTACTTAGGAGGCTCAGGTGAGAGGATCGCTTGAGCCCAGGAGGTCAAGGTGTCAGTGGGCTCAGATCTCGCCAGTGCACTCCAGCCTTGGCAGCAGAGGGAGACTCTGTCTCCAAAAGAAATAAATAAATGGACTCTCACACCGTGCGGCCTTTTGTGTGGGCTTCTTTCACTCAGCTTCATGTTGTTGAGGTTCAGCTGCATTATATCATGTATTGGTGGCTCACTTCTTTTTTTTTTTTTTTTTTTTTCTTTTAAAAGAAGGTCGTTTTGTGGCCCAGGCTCGAGTGCAGTGGTACAGTCAGCTGATGGTAGCCTCAGCCTCCTACGCCCAGGCGATCCTCCCACCTCAGCCCCCTAAGTAGCTGGAACTACGGGCACAAGCCACTGTGCCTAATGTTTTTATTTTGTAGAGATGGAGTCTTGCTATGTCGCCCAGACTGGTCTTGAACTCCTAGCCTCAAGCCGTCCTCCTCCCTCACCCTCCCAAAGCAATGGGATTACAAGCATGAGCTGTCGCACCTGGCCTATCATTCTAGTGATATGAGATGTCCAGAACAAGCAAACCCACAGAGACAGAAAGCACATTGGTGCTTGCCCGGGGCCAGGGGAGGAGGAATATGGACTGACTACTCATGGCAATGGGGCTTCTTTTGGGGGGATACAAGCGTTCTGGAACCAGACAGAGGTGGCATTTGTACCACACTGAATATACTTAAAAGACACTTTTTCTTTTTGAGATGGAGTCTTACTCTGTCACCCAGGCTGGAGTGCAGTGGTGTGATCTCGGCTCATTGCAACCTCCGCCTCCTGGGTTCAGGCAATTCTCCTGCCTCAGCCTCCTGAGTAGCTGGGATTGCAGTCATGTGCCACCATGCCCAGCTAATTTTTGTATTGTTAGTGTAGATGGAGTTTTGCCACGTTGGCCAGGCTGGACCTCAAGTGACCTGCCTGCCTCGGTCTCCAAAAGTGCTGGGATTACAGGCGTGAGCCACTGTGCCTGGCCCAAATTCTCTATCTTTAAATCGTTTTTTTTGTTTTTTTCACTGAGACCGAGTCTTGCTCTGTCGCCCAGGCTGGAGTGCAGTGGCATGATCTTGGCTCACTTCAACCTCCACCTCCTGGGTTCAAGTGATTCTCCTGCCCCAGCCTCCTGAGTAGCCAGGACTACAAGCGCACACCACCACCCCCAGCTAATTTTTGTATTTTTAGTGGAGACGGGGTTTTGCCGTGTTGGACAGGCTGGTCTCGAACTCCTGACCTCAAGTGATCCTCCTGCCTCGGCCTCCCAAAGTGCCGGCATTACTGGTAAGAGCCACCGTGCCCAGCCTAAATGGGTTTATTTGGTGTCATGATACGAATTTTGCCTTAATAAACTTTTACAAGAACACTTAAGTCCAAAGCCCTTGTTTTATACAGAGAAGGCCACAGAGGCCCCAGGAGGGTCCTGGCTGCCCAGGTGTGAGTCTGGGGGTGCTGAGTGCCGTTGTCCCCACCAGCCCCTGCTCCCCGGCCCTCGTCCTCTTCCCACAGCCTGCTGAGGGATGCCCAAGAAGTTCCAGGGTGAGAACACCAAGTCGGCAGCGGCCCGGGCACGGAGGGCAGAGGCCAAGGCGGCCGCTGATGCCAGGAAGCAGAAGGAGCTCGAGGATGCCTACTGGAAGGACGACGACAAACACGTCATGAGGAAGGAGCAGCGCAAGGTGCGTGCGCACCGAGCCCCCGTGGCCCCTATGTCAATGTGGGTGAATAGCAAGAGGCGCCCCCAGCTCCCGTGGCCCACGTGCGCGTGGGTGAGCCTGTGGCCCCTATGTCAATACGGGTGAATAGCAAGAGGCCCCTCTCAGCTTTTGTCTGAAAGGCCAGGAGGGGCTGAGCATGGTGGCGCACGCCTGTCATTGCAGCACTTTTTTAAAAAAAATAGATACGGGTTTCACCATGTTGGCCAGACTGGTCTCGAACTTCTGACCTCAGGTGATCCATCCGCCTCGGCCTCTCAAGTATCTGGGATTACAGGCGTGAGCCACCACGCCCAGCCGAAACCCCATCTCTCTACTCAAACCACAAAAATATTTGGAAGGCCAAGGCAGGCAGATCACCAGGTCAGTTCAGGAGCAGCCTGGCCAACATAGTGAAACCTTGTCTCTATTGAAAATACAAAAAATTAGCTGGGTGTGGTGGCGCACACCTGTAATTCCAGATACTTGGGAGGCCGAGGCAAGGAGAATAGATGGAACCCAGGAGGCGGAGGTTGCCGTGAGCCCAGATCATGCTGCTGCACTCCAGCCCCGGCGAGAGTGTGAGACTTAGTCTCACAATAATAAAGTAACTGCGCGTATAATCCCAGCTACTCTGGAGGTTCGCAGGAGAATCGCTTGAACTAGGAGGTGCAGATCGCAGTGAGCCAAGGTCTCCCCGCTGTATTCCAGCGTGGGCAGCAGAGCGAGATTCCATCTCAAAAAAAAAGAGACCAGGTGCAGTGGCTCATGCCTGTAATCCCAGCACTTTGGGAGGCTGAGATGAGCCAATCACCTGAGGTCAGGAGTTTGAGACCAGCATGGCCAACATGGTGAAACCCTGACTCTACTCAAAATATGAAAATAAGCCAGGTGTGGTGGCGGGGGCTTCTGTAACCCCAGCTACTTGGGAGGCCGAGGCAGGAGAGTTGCTTGAACTCAGGGAGTGGAGGTTGCAGTGAGCCAAGATTTCACCACTGCCCTCCAGCCTGGACGACAGAGTGAGACACCATCTCATAACAAACCCAAAAAACGCCAGGAGGTACTAGCGATGGCAGAGGGGAAGGAGGCAGAGGAAATGGTGTGTTCAAAGGCCGGGTGGCAAGGTCTTGGCTTGTGTGTGGACAGTGAGGCGGTCACCGCCCTCTGGACTGGCTCCTCCTTTGAGGAATGCCAGGGCTGGGCTAGATGATCACACTGACCATGGAGTCACTCTGCCCCTGGGGACACTTGGCAGCACCTGGAGATGTGTTTGGTTGTTGTAACTCGGGGAGAGGGGGTGTTGCTGGCATCTAGCCGATGGAGGCCAGAGATGCTGACACCCTAGAATGCAGAGAACGCCCCCACAGCAAAGAATGAGCCAGCTCCATGCATCAGCAGTGCTGAAGCCAAGAAACGCTGTGATCAGGCCCCTGATTCCCACCTGCTGACCCAGGTCCACAGCTTCTTCCAGGTGTTTATTTATTTTTATTTTTATTTTTTTGAGATAGAGTCTCACTCTGTCGCCCAAGCTGGAGTGCAGTGGCGCAATCTCGGCTCACTATAACCTCTGCCACCCCAGGTCAAGTGATTCTCCTGCCTCAGCCTCCCCAGTAGCTGGGATTATAGGCATCTGCCACTTTGCCCAGCTAATTTTTTTTTTTTTTTTTAGACGGAGTTTCACTCTTGTTACCCAGGCTGGAGTGCAATGGCGCGATCTCGGCTCACCGCAACCTCCGCCTCCTGGGTTCAGGCAATTCTCCCGCCCCAGCCTCCTGAGTCGCTGGGATTACAGGCACGCGCCACCATGCCCAGCT